TATCCAACCACCTCAAGAGCTCATTATGCGAGGTCTTAAACCTTTTCTACACTACCCTCTAGCCGGACGTATCAAGAACAACCAGTTCATACATTGCAATGACGAGGGCATCCCTTTCGTCGAAGCTCGAGTACTGGATTGCACACTTTCTGATGTTCTCAACAACCCTATCCCTGGTGAGCTCAACAAGTTCATGCCCTTTGAACTTGATGATATTACCAATTCATTGCCCCTAGGGGTCCAACTCAACATATTTCAATGTGGAGGCTTTGCAATTGGTCAATGCATTTCTCACAAGATTGCTGATGGGTTGTCGTATTTCATGTTTAGCAAAATTTGGGCAGCCATTGCTCGTGGAGACCAAGCCAACATAAACCCTCCGGAGTTTGTCTCATCCACACTCTTCCCACCAAAGGAGTTTAATATTGGATTTGATGGCAGCGTTGGCATCACAAAGGATAGAGTAACAAAGCGGTTTGTGTTTGATGCCTCTCAAATAGAGAACCTCCGAGAAAGATATGAACAAAGTATGCACAATATGAAGAAACGCCCAACTCGTGTGGAAACCTTATCCACTTTCTTATGGAGTCGGTTTGTTGCGGCTACAAAAGATAGTACCTTGAATAAGTTGTACATGGTGATACATGCTGTGAACTTGCGTCCGAGGTTTGATCCACCATTGCCTCAAAGTTTTTTCGGGAATCTTTTTTGTTCGGCCATGACAGCTCCACTGCGAATTCCCAGTAGTGGTGGTGGTGATGAAGAATGTGGTCATGGCATGGTGATCCCGGTGGTTCGAGAAGCAATAAGCAATATAGACAATGAGTACGTAAAGAAATTACAAAAACAAGGTGATGAGCACTTAGGTGTGATGAAAAAATTAGCTGATAGTTTTAAGAGAGGAGAGAAGGCTATATTACTTAGCTTTAGTAGCTATTGTAGATTTCCTCTTTATGACAATGATTTTGGTTGGGGGAGGCCTACATGGGTCGGCTCACCGTCACTCACCTACAAGAACCTTGTGCTTTTCATGGACACCAAAGAGGGTGGTGGAACAGAGGCTTATGTTAGTTTGGAGGAGGAAGTCATGGCTAAGTTTGAATGTGATAGCGAGTTGCTCTCCTATGTTGCTCCAACCCGTCGGGTGCTCCTAAGCTAAGGAAATAAATTTCTCTATGTAACTATATGTTCGTGTTACAAATTTCCCTATGTAACTATAATATGTCTGAGTTATGTGCAGTTTCAGGTTTCAATAATCGTCAAGCTTTTCTCAATTAAGGCCTACACTTTGAATATTAGTATACTAATCTACAACAATATTTAGTTGTGATTCACAAATCTACATGTTACGATATTATAATCATGATTATCGTTTGCAGTGAAGATTCATTAATCACAATTGAGGTCTTCTCTCCATAATAAAATTAAAATTTTAAAAACTCTTATTACAAGATAAGGGTTTGATATGCCTTGGAAGACCCGATAGGCTGAGAAGGTGCTCAAGAAGAAGAAAAATGTGGAGACGATAATGGTGTTCATGCATCGTTGATTGGTCTGGTAATTAGGACTCGTGTTAAGGTTATTACCTACATATTCAACATATGCTTGAAGACTACAAAGAAGTTTATGTAAAAGATTTTCTATTTTTCAAGTTGCAGGTTTCTTTCAAGTTGTGGTAATTATAACTTTCTATTTTTCAAGTTGCAGGTTTCTTTGCCGTGTATGTAATCTTAGATGATGACAAAATGTAGGTAGAGCCATGAATAGAGGAAAAAAAGAAGTCAATGATCAAAACTAATTTCCTACCTACAAGTTTGCCCCTCGACTTAATGAACGTTGACTAAAATTTGTTTCCACAGTCTTAGGATTATGCTTAGGCTCATTATTTCCTACCTACAAGTTTGCCCCTCGACTTAATGAACGTTGACTAAAATTTGTTTCCACAGTCTTAGGATTATGCTTAGGCTCATTCCAAATCTTGATTAATTCAAAATCTCTTCCTGAAGCCTCCCATTTTATACGTGACCTTTTACCTAATAACATACAGACAAGGATTTTTCTTTTTTCAATACGGTTGATTTCTTTCTTTCTCCCCATAGTTAAATACACGGCACTTTATTTTTCATTTCTAACAAGAAATTCCACTTTGAGTTGATTGACACCCAAATCAAAACAAGAGATTTGGTCTTGTGACTTTGATGGATAGGTAACGTCGTTCAAGCATTTTCAGAATGCAGTTGTTCAAGGGTGGAAGCCTCTGGTGTTTGAGGAACCTGTGCTTCCCAATGCTACCAACCTTTACAGTATTGACGTGGTGGTTGCTTTCCAGGAAAAACTTCGTAGATTGTCTGGCCAGGTTAGGTGCAATCTAAAGCTTCCATTGAGTTTTAATGGAACATCTTGGAATTCTTGCCAGACTACAAAGTGCTCCGAAGTTTTTTATTATTGGGGTTTTAGTTTTAGGTCCTTGTAATTGAACTTTTTAATTGAATTTTTAAATTCTTTCTTTGATAATATTTATTTAATATATGGATAAAATAGAATTTAATCAATAAAAATACATACTATACAAATCGATTATGCAAGCACTCGCATGAAACTATGGTACCCATGCAAATAGACATGGGGAAATGGGGGAAAATTGAAAGATAATTGTCTATTTAGAAATAAACGAATCCAAAATAGTGTGGAGAAGAAAAAATAATAGCCTATTAATGGTTAATTGCACCACATACTCTACAAGTAACAAAAAAATGAAAAGGAAAAGTGAGCTCAACGAAAAAACAAAAATTAAAGAAAAAATTAGGCTGCCTATGGCATACTCCAGAGACACGTAACCATTAAGAATCAAAGGTTAAAATGCATTAGAAATTGAATTAGAAAAACCAAAAACATATACATATGAAGACCAATTGCGTATGAACCTTAAAAAGAACATGTTGAAGAACATCTACTTACAATGTACCAAAAACCCGGTTTGTTCTTTCCCGACAAATACTATCTGACAAAAATTAGTTATTAGTATAGTCAGACGTACCAAACGAGTCCTAAATTGATAATGATTTTGGTTGGGGGATTGACCTACAAGGACCTTGTAGTTTTCATGAACACCAAAGAGGGTGACGGAACAATACAAGCGTACGTATATTAAAGCATCTACAATAGTGAGGTTCATTTCAATTTATTTCAATAAATTGAATTTTTGACTTGCGGTGGTAAAGTTCTGTTCATTTCAAAGATCAATATTTCATTTCAGTGATCAATAATTCATTTCAGAGGTCAATAAAATGAATTATGAAATGAAATTCATTTCAACTAGCACACCATAATAACTCTACAGCCACTTATTGACACATGGACAGCTTTATTTTTTACAATAACTTGAAAAATAGGTGCTCTCATGTGTTCTCATTTAATCTCAACTTCTAATTCTTCAGAAGAAAAAAAAAGTGTGAATATAATATTGTCACTAACCAAAGAAAATTTTGTTATTAATTTTTTTATATATATTTAAATTGGTCTATTTTTAAAGATCTCTTTGAAACCACTTTAATTTTTTTAATTCTTATTGTAATTAAATTTACTCATTTTATTTTATTCAATTATTTAAAAAAATATATAGTTTTTAATTTGTAAGCCATTGAATTGTACCACTACAAGTGAAACTGCAGTTCAGTTCAATAGCTGCCCAAAAAGTTCAAAAAACTGAACAAAACTGTTGAGTAACCATTGCGGATGCTCTTAACTTGGAGGAGGAAGTCATGGCTAAATTTGAAAGAGTTCGTTGCCTATGCATCTCCAATTAATTCGAGCGCAAAATTAAGAGAATTAATTTCCCTATGTTGGTATTAATTCGACAAAGTACTGTTATTACTTGATCAAATAGTCACTTCTAGTTTCATCAACAAATTGTGCTTGTAGTTTTACCGAAGGAGAGGTGGTTACATTATAGTTATTGCAGATTTCCTCTGTATTATAATGATTTTGGTTGGGGAGAGTGTAAGACAAAATCTTGTCTTAGTCCACGTAAGGTGATCTTCTAATCCTAAGAGGATTCGGTTTTCTTAGTTGATCAGGAAACAAAACCTAGTCTTCTATCTAAACACTTATACAGAGTTTATTAAAGAAAACAAGTGTAAAGAGGATTCCTAGTATATTATGGATTGAACCAAACCTAATCTAAATGCAACAAGGACACACGATTACTTCTTGATAGGCAAGGTATCGATGTGATGCATATATAAATAGAGGTCCCTTCCCTTGCAGCAAATCACTCTCAAATCAGATCTCACCCTATCTAAGAGAAAGAGAAACTAAAGTGCTGCAAAAGGGAAGAAGACTCTCTACAAGAAATCGTGATACTCTACTGCTACCATGGCTGAACTAGGTTAGTATTATAGTTTAAAAGCTTAGTACAGACTTACAGAGAGACCCACATAGGAGGGTCGACCTTCAAGACCCTTCTATTTTAGGTCAACACCAAAGAGGCTCACGAAATATTCGTTTTTTATATTTTTATTTGTACTATTTCAACCGACCATACATGTTATGAAATCTCAAGTGGGTACAAAACAATTAGGGGTGTAATAATAAATTTGGCTGATCCAATAAATTTTTAGTTATTTATTTAAAGAGTTGATATAATAAAATTTAATTTTAAGATAATGTTGCTGCATTACTGTTTCTTAATGTCAATGTAAGACTTTTCTTTTGGGTTGAAAGTAGGACAACTTTGACTTTGAATGCTAATATGTCTATATATAAACCTTCCCCTGCTATTATATTATATATGAAAATGCCTAGACTTTGCACGTTAATATATACAAATGATAAGTTTCCACTTTCCAGCCCTTCAACACCACACAATTTACAGCAGTCGAACTTTGACCTCCTAATAATAATTGAACAAACTACCTCCGTCTTTCTTTTCAAAAACTACTTCCGTCCCTGCACTGCACAATCAAAACAAATTCTGATCAAATAGGAGAGAGAGAATTAAGATGAAGGTTGAAGTTGAAGTGATCTCCAAGGAGATTATCAAGCCATCATCTCCAACCCCTGACCATCTTCGCTATTTGCAGCTCTCTTTTCTTGATCAACTAGCTCCCCCAGTCTATAACCCTTTTGTCCTCTTTTATGAATTCAATGGCGAGACACAGCCCAAAATCACTGAAATATCCAGCCATCTCAAAAAGTCCTTGGCCGACGTCTTAACCCTTTTCTACCCGCTAGCCGGTCGAGTCTTCAAACAAAACCATTTTGTTGATTGCAATGATGAGGGCGTTCCCTATGTTGAAGCACAAGTCAAGTGCTCACTTTCTGATTTTCTCTACAATCCAATTCCTGATGAACTCAAGAAGTTCATCCCATTGGAGCTAGATGATGTTGCCAATGAACTTGCTCTAGGGGTTCAGCTCAACATATTTGAATGCGGAGGATTTGCTATTGGTCAATGCATTTCTCACAAGATTGCAGATGGATTGTCTCATTTCATGTTCAGTAAAACTTGGGCTGCCACAGCCCTGGGAGATCAACCCCGAATAGAACATCCAGAGTTTGTTTCAGCAGCACTCTTCCCTCCAAAGGAGTTCAATATTGGATATGATGCAGGCATTGGCATCACAAAGAACAGAGTAACAAAGAGGTTTGTGTTTGATGCCTCTAAGATAGAGAGTCTCAAAACCAAATATAAAAGGGAGGACAGTTCAGGTTTTAACTCCCGAGTTTTGAGTTTGGAAAACGAAAAAGGACCCTCACGCGTTGAGGCCTTATCTGCTTTCAT